CACCACAACATGAGGAACTGTATTAAAGGGTCGCCACAACGTGAGGAACTGTATTAAAGGGTCGCCACAACGTGAGGAACTGTATTAAAGGGTCGCCACAACATGAGGAACTGTATTAAAGGGTCACCACAACATGAGGAACTGTATTAAAGGGTCGCCACAACATGAGGAACTGTATTAAAGGGTCGCCACAACATGAGGAACTGTATTAAAGGGTCGCCACAACGTGAGGAACTGTATTAAAGGGTCGCCACAACGTGAGGAACTGTATTAAAGGGTCGCCACAACATGAGGAACTGTATTAAAGGGTCACCACAACATGAGGAACTGTATTAAAGGGTCGCCACAACATGAGGAACTGTATTAAAGGGTCGCCACAACGTGAGGAACTGTATTAAAGGGTCGCCACAACATGAGGAACTGTATTAAAGGGTCGCCACAACGTGAGGAACTGTATTAAAGGGTCGCCACAACGTGAGGAACTGTATTAAAGGGTCGCCACAACGTGATAAACTATATTAAAGGGTCGCCACAACGTGAGGAACTGTATTAAAAGGTCGCCACAACGTGATAAACTATATTAAAGGGTCGCCACAACGTGAGGAACTGTATTAAAAGGTTGCCACAACGTGACAAACTATATTAAAGGGTCGCCACAAAGTGAGGAACTATATTAAAGGGTCGCTTCATTACGAAGGTTGAGAGCCAGTGGTCTAGATCATGAAAGATATCACTTGTTTTTCTTCTGGGTCCATGACATTCTAATTATTGGTAAGCATTTTTCTGCAGCATTTTATTTCAAAGACCCCGATTTTAATTCTTCATTGACTGAATAAGGGACCATGACTAACACCCACAGGAAAGATATATGATCTTAGAAATTTTCTTTCCACTCATTTGCAGGTGCTGTTCCATAGATGAGTGGTCTTCACATGGCGCCCTGCTTGAGTGCTGGATGTCCCGGGTTCAAACCCTGCTAAGGGCTGGGTTTTTTCACACTTTAGTAATTTCCCCTGGTCTCTGGGTAGTAAGATCGGACGCCCGTATGTATTGGTTGGGTATGTTAAAAAAAAAATACCTAGGCAGTTGTAAGTCTAAAAGAGTAGCCTCACGGCGCTGCCCGGGCAAAATTTGGAGTTAAAAATCTACCGATAGTATTTCAGGATAGTTGCCGGTGCAGCGGAATTCAGACATTGAGCTGGCATTATTCAGATTCAGGCTTGAGTTTCACGTAGAACGGAGCACTTAATGGTTGCACACGGGAGCCATGATACTGATTGGCTGAATAAACAAACAAGGTTCTTCATGCTGTTTAATCTCTGCCCTGTCTTTTTTCTGCCTTCTTTCATGCAGTCTCAATTATTGTTTACCACTGAGTCTAAACATTCCAAATCTGTAACATTACTGATTTCAATATATGGTTGGCATGCTATATTCATTGTGGACCATTTTTTTTTTAAAAAACAAATATTCTCTTCTTTTCTACTCTTGTAAATGTTTTAACTCCAGTACACTGTTGGAAAGGAGAACTGTGTGGTCATATCTGAGTTCTTTGACAGGTTTGCCTTTAATTGTGAGTGGATCGAAGCCGTCACGTCACAGACCTCATCCCCATGTGCTATATAAATGGCATAATGATATGATGCTGACTGTTTCAGCAGGCAACGTATAATATACTGTTTGCCTATCATATGCACAAATACTCCTGCCATTCTCCATTGCAGAATCCACAGGATTTACTTATTTCAGCTATTAACCCTAACATTTCTTTGTCATCCTCTTGTTGGATGCAATGTTTCATTATTTTGAAGCTCCACTGGAAGTTGCCAGGGGCCGCAATATAGCCTGGCCATAAATATGGCCTAATGGTTGAACGCTTTTTCCGGGACCTCTCCACAGGTGATCCTCATCCACATAGTGGCACTTTGTGACACTGGGTGTTTATCACTCTGTGTGATGAACTGTTGGGGTAAAACTTATTACTGCTACTTATTTCGGCTCTTAGCAACAAAGAGTTTACAAAAATAATTATAAAAGCAGAATTTGTTCAACCAAAATATGTTTGCTGCATTTACCAAAAAGGTTTTGCATTCACATTTCCAAAGAGCATTCTCAACTTACAAAAACATGCTGAACTGCCAAACTTGATGCCTGTCAGAGCATCTGTGTCAATGTTCACCTTTACATTTCTATAGCAAGGATGTACATTTTCTGCATCACTAAACTAAAACACAATCACTTTTCCGTACACAAACATTTCTCATGTTCAAGCAGAAATGAACTCTCTTGTTCAGAAGAGATGAATAGCATCAAAAGTCCATGTACTTCAACGAACACATGCAAAGTTAAAGTGAACAGAGTCAACTTCAGTCCACAGGATTTACCCCATATAGTGCACCTTTCTTAGCAGAAAGGTTAGCCACTTGCGAAAAGGGTCGCACAAAGCATGAATTCTGTAGCTCCAGCGACACCCTCGGGAATTAGAAACAAATTAAAACCTGCGCACATGATGTGAACGCATCAGTAAAATGAGCAAAAGAGCTCCACAGTGCAAGGCAAATGGCTTGACCACTCCAAGACCTATGTCAACATCCCAAAGACAAGTAGTAAAGTACCCGTCTTTACAAAATGAGGCTCATCTACTGTCCCCATATTTTGTAAGTGGTGGGATAACAGGGTCAATATCACGGCAGCCACCTTTACTTCTCAGGAAATTTTCTGTTACTTATCTCCAAGTCGGGGTTAGCCAGGGAAGCTTAGATCACCAGAACAACCAATCCCTGCATCTTTGAGAGATTCACAGAGATAATGACCACCAGGTGAACAGGCAAGCATGCCACCACTGCACGAATGCAGCTTCACCAATTAACATGGAGCTATACAAACATGGAAAACAAATACCAATGTTAACTGAGATGATGTCAAATGAAATTTAATCAAATATAATTAAAAGCCCCCCCCCCCCCCCCTGACGAAGATATCAAAATTCTATAGTAAATATGCAAACAAAAAACTGAAAATGTAAAGAAAAAGACTCAAACGATTCTAGCAAAAATAAGTATATTTTAAGAAAAAATAGATTCTTTAACTCAACACTTGCCTTATTTTCAGCACACAAAAATACAGTTTGTGTATTTCCCCAGCAGGAATGCTACCTGGAAGTTTTAACACCACAGTGACTCAAAGAGCCACATTTCCCATGCCACTCCAGCAGCAACAAATCTCGGAAACCCTGTGAAACCCCATAATTACTTAATTGTCTTGAAGTACCTTTCGGTCCTGGGTGGACCAGGAAGAAGTTCAGCTACAAAAAGACACCATGGGTATATTGGGCACATAGTGAAAGGACCTGTTTCCAAGCCTTCAGGCATATAGTTCTAGCTCTATATTTTTTTTTACTGACCAATCGGCCTCCCACCAGTCACATTTACTTCCCCAGGCATCATCTAGTACCCATGACTGGGCATGAGAGGCAAAGTCAATTGTGCACACACACACACAAAATTTGGCCTTGCTGTGAATGTTAACCTTTGACATTCAGGCCGAGAGATGAGTATCTAGCTGCTAGACCACCACCACCACAGCCCCCAAGCTGCACACAAATATCCTATTCAAAACTGCAAACATAAAAAAAATTAAGAAAATCAACATTAATGATGAGATAAAAATCATAAACTACAAAATGCTATGTAAAGTCATGAGAGTCAAACAAAACACAAAGACACTCACTCACACATACATTCACAAGAAGGGGCCTGAACAAGGTGCAGACATCAGCATCAGCACACCAGAAGGTTTATCGCTGAAGCATCATTGGCACACTGTCCAGGCAGGCCACGTCATGAGTGTTCAGAACCTGGGCATTAAATCTTCAACAAACAGCAAGTGATGTGAAATGAATACACCAAAAAATTGTGGCCCCTAAGTCCAGTTTTGAAGCCTTAAATCAGTGACTCTGAACCTTCCTAATGCTCCGACCCTTAACCATAAAATTATTTTCTTTGCTACTTCATTACTTCAGTAAATATGTGTTTTCTGATGGGTCTGACCCTATGAAAGGGTCATTTGATCCCCAAAGGGAATGTGACTCACAAGCTGAGAAACGCAGCCTTAAATAATCTTCCCAAAATGAACTGACTTATATTAATTCACCATCCTATTGTGCCACATAAGGTTACCAGTTTTATCCATTCCACTCTATGCCTGCAAGCATTTCAATAACATGGATGGAATCAACTCCAGCTCCTTTGGCTTCTCTCAGTTTCTCTTGGACGTCCTCGTTTCCCCAATCCATCAATTTCTCATTTCAGTGCCTGACTGGTGATTTTCACTTGACTTATATGACAGGTATAAAATGCATTTTGTAATTCTAAAGGCTGTACTCAGAATTCTAAGTTAAAAACATATGTAGTTCTACTTATATGCCACAATTTATGCTAAAGTTAAGAACTGACATTACAATAATCTGGGTATACCCATAAATGTTCTATTCTTATTTTCAACAGCCAAAGAAAAGTTCCAATCCCCAATACTAAAAGTGCCAGTTGCCGTCTCTAATTACATGTTCATTCATGTCTTTCCTCTGAATACTTCTAGCATTGTTTCTTCCTGAGTAAATGTTTATGACTTCCCTTATTAAATCAAATCTTCAGTCAAGGTTAAATTAAAGTGATGGATTTCCTATTTATATTTTGGCTATCACTTAATAATGAGAACATCACAAAGGGAAGCAACATGCCATTTTAAGGGGAAAATGTAATCATAGGCTCTAAACAAACATGACCTCTGACCTCTTGCACTGCAATCTCTTTTAACCAAGAAGAGAAAAACTTCCTGTGTGAAATCAGGCACACACAGACATACATACACACATACATGTCAAGAACAGTAACTACAGTAATCTCGCACAAATCAGATTACCTCCCATTTACATTTCTCATGTACGTTTACAGACACACTTTACATAGCTTTCTGTACTAGAATGTCAGCCGTTGAAATGTTTAATTCTGGAGATGCTCCTGAAAGAACTCCTCGACAGAATCAGTGTTCCACTTGTCGATTCCCAAAGTCTCCACAACATTGTGATTTTCGTCCAGCAGCTTGATACTGGGGTCAGCACCGCGGACGTAGCGCACGGTCAGCCCAGGAAACTGGTTGACACGGTCACTTTTCACAAACGCTGCAAGAAAACAATGAATACAGAAGAAATAACCATATTTTTGCAGTTTTACAATCTGTCCATACCTTCTGCTTCAGTGATCAACTTTTGCTAGGAGCCATAATCACGGCGATCCGCTGAAGGTTTTCACCGGTGCTCCACAGTTTGTTGTGTAGAGTTACTTATGCTGGCAATAATTTTTCTCTCTGAATGGAGAATCTTGTGCCAATCTGTAAGACATGTTCTGGAGTTTACTATGATGCACCCAACCCCAAGCAGCAGAGTTAGCAAGACCCATTCGATGCAGAAACGTCTAGTTTGAGAATAGAGGTAGAGGCAGTCACTGCTGCTTTCCGCTGACTTTAGAATCAACTGTACACACATGCCATGATTGTAACTGACTCAAAGAGCATGTTGAGAAAGGTAAAAACAGGCATGCTTCGTGTAGAGTGGCAAGCATTACTTCAGAGGTCCCAGGTAGTTAGCATTCTTTAGATATTTTCTCCAGGTCATGCCGGTGTGTTGGGAAATGAGCAGGCAGTAAACTGGCCGGTTCTGCACCCCTTGGTGATGAACTGATGTATGATAAGTTTGATATTGTAAGGGCCCTTTGGGAGCAAGTGTGGAGGCACAGATAAATCATTACTGTCTAAGGAGAATGGCGTGTGAGGAGTTACCAGGGGATCTGGCTGACGCTTAACACTCATGGAAGGATGAGATGGATATACAATCAGATGGTTACTGGTACGATCCGAATTGGAACTCTTCGCTTGCTGCTGAAGATGGGGACTGAGCACTTATGGGAGTGTCCTGAAAGCTGTGATTGTCGATTCTTAATTCAGCATTCTATGCAGATGTGCTCTGAGTTTACAGCTTCCTGTTCTGTGTCTCAAGATTTTGGTCCGCGAATTTCTGCCAAGCTTGTTCATACTGTCATGCTCTGGTCTGTAATTTTGGTTGTCCTCTCTCCAGTTTGTCTTTATGGATTGCTTTAAGAGCCTCTCTATGTTCATACATAATCTGAGGACATTAAACACTATACACAAGTCTGTGCTTTATACTCACAAACATACATAAACTGAGGACATTAAACACTATACCCAAGTCTGTGCTTTATACTCACAAACATACATAAACTGAGGACATTAAACACTACACCCAAGTCTGTGCTTTATACTCACAAACATACATAAACTGAGGACATTAAACACTATACTCAAGTCTAGGCTTTATACTCACAAACAAATTCTCTGTCTTCTTCACAGATTGGAAAAAAATAAGACTAGATTTTCAACAAATCTGAATTCACAAAGTGTCAGAATGTAACTAGAATGTTCTTATTCTTCATGTTCAATGGCTGTAAACTCCAGAGGAAAGTTCTGGGTGTTCACCCACTTCTGGACTTTGGTTTTGTTGGAGAACCTGAACTTTAAATGCACATTCATTTTACAGATCCACTTTTATGCAGGCTGTAGCTTCCTCACCTCTCAGGCAGATGCACTCTGACTTAGCAAGAAACACCCCTAATTAGTAGATTCTTTCAACAGTGGGTCTTTTACTTTATACCCCCTCTTCCCCCCCCCCCCCCAACAATGGGGACCCGAAACCCATACAGGGAACTAGGAAGTTCAAAATGTGGGGGGGGGGGGGGGGGGGGAATGAAGCAACCTACACAGATACAAACAAATGATTTAACCAAAGTCTTTAATAAACCAAGAAGAAAAAAGAATTCTAAACACCAGTCTATAAAACAGGGAAGTCGCTTTAGGAACTACAACAGAAATGATTTTCATCCGTCTGTCTTTTTCTACTTATTTTGCTCTATATTAAGAGTTCAAGATGACACATATTTGAAACATCATAATCTGCAACCAGCAACACAACTCACCTTGGACTTGTGGGAACCGACCCAACTTTCATCCACACACATGTAGTTCTGCATAGGGATATTTCTGTAGAAAATGAACAGACAACAGTTGTCAGTAACTGACAACATCCTTCAAATGTCTCTGATACTTGTAATACAGTAACAATGTATGGTCACACTAATCTCTCTTGGTACTGTGTTCAAGTCTGTTGAAAAAACCTAAAACTCATTCTGTGGGTTCCAGGCCCAAGTGGGTGAGGAGAGAATAGACACCCCCTTCTAAGCATGTCATATAGGGCAACTAATTACTGATTTGCTTAAAATGGAAGTGTTGGGCAGAAAAGTGCAGATATTGCAGCCTAGCTGTAACTTATATCACAACATGTCAACTATCCTTGTAAGGGTGAATACAGCAGAAGAAAACTTGGGTGTGACCAGAGGGTTTGGCCGACACACTACGCTCAGAGAAAAGGCAAGACGGACATAAAACCAGACTACAACTGGCACCATTAGTATCGGAACCCTGTGCTGGCAGCTGAAGATGGGTAAGGAGCGCGTATGGTAAAGCCCTGATTGCTGTGATGTCAATTCTTTACTTAACAGCAGAAGAAAATACTTGAACAAAGGTTCATGACCAATCTAGGCTAATCTGAGTCACGACCTAAAGTTTTTGCTGAATCCTGACCTAACTACATTCTTAAAACATGTTTTTAAACAATAAATCTGGGATTTCACATGGTTTTTATTCACAGTAATTCCATTGTGCACTGAAATCTTCTTCTTTTCATCGTCCAAGTGACACAACTAGGTTGTGCCTGTTCACAGCAAAGCTGCCATATTTGTGACTTTTGGTCGACAAACCCAACTTCATGGAGTATTTGCTGACTGAGTTAACTTCTCGGCTGAATCGACATAACGAATGGTCCGATGTAACACATTCTGGAATGATCTCAACACCCTTTCTTGGGTTTTGGCCCTTATGTTACTTGTTATAGCTCTGTGGATATCAATATTGTCAAAGAGATGACATTTCAATGATAAATTTAGTTGTGGGAGTAGGAATTATTCACAGGGGGACAAATTTGGGAAGTATGGTGAATGGTTGACAGTCCTGTACATTAAGCAGCACTAAAATTCTATGGTTAGGAGCCAGCAAAGAAATTCAAAGTTAACATTTTGACAATATGTATCTTCCCTCTAGCAACATACAGATGTGAGACGTGAAATATCTCCTAGTCCTTAAGGAAGAAAACAGGGGCTTTCTGAGCTGAAATGTTATAGAAAGATTCTCAGAATCTATGCTGAAAGAAGAGAAGAAATACTGACATTCTAAAAGATCTCAACGTCAAGGAAGATAATAAACTGCATCTTGTCCTGGAAGCCGAAATACTTTGGTCATATAAAGCACCATGGCAGATTGAAAAACACAATAGCAGAAGGCATGGTACTAGGAAGGAGGCACAGGGGCTGACGAAGATGGGCACATGATATAAGGGACTCTTTGAATATGAAAGGACACGAGGTTGCAGAGCTTATGAGAGGTTGAGTTTCTTTTAGGCAGGCCATGATGACAGCGACATTCTGCAAAGGACCTGCTACGTGATGATGATAAGTCCTGTACAGCTACTGCGCTGTGAGCCATAATAAAAGTCTCATGATTCAACAGCCGGACTGTTTAGGCTAAGATACTGACTAGAATACAAGGAAAAAGACTTACAGTTGGGCCTGCCTGTTCAACTTGATCTTTCTGACAGCACTGTAAGCAGTCGGACTTGATGGCACCCAATTTGAAGTCATCCATCAGGTCACATGTCGAACACAACAGATTTGGAGTGAAGCCCTTCAGGGAACACTCCTCCACAAACTCCAGGCTACATTCGCTTAAGTAAACCTGATAAATTCAAATTTCAAAAATAGGAGTTTACACATCAGTTATCAGTGAAAAGCTGACAGAAGTTAGCGATGAATCAGTACATCCAACAGTGGAAGCTATGGTGAAATGGTTAGATGCTTGCCTGAAAGTCTTTGGTTCCACTCCACACTGAGGTGGGTTTTAATAAGAGCCTCTAAAAAGGGTACCAGGAAATGTCCTTGGCAATAAAGGTGGTCGGAATGATTCAGTCTACATCACACACTGAGTGCTGGTTAGTATATAACAATCAGTGTAGCATCTTACGCCCCATGGTAGGTAAATGGTCTTTTACTTACATCTAAGAACTTTTTTGCTTGGTACCAGCTAGTTAAGTTGGTTAAACCAGCTGCACAGTGACCGGGTGATGAACTCCTTGTGGTCCAAGTTCACGCCCAGGGGTAGGCAGAAAAGCCACATATTTCCTAGATTTACGGTATCTATCATGGAATCGGGGCAGAGGGTTGCGATATCCATAGTACAGAGCCAAAGGGTTTACAACTCATGGTTTCTGAATTTTAAAAACAAATTACATCTAACAGCACCTTCCTGAGTTGAGCTGAGTCAAGAAGTGACATCACAGCACTCGGGGTATTCCCATGCATGCTCTGTCCTCATCTTCAGCAGCCAGCGCAGAGTTCCAATACTGATGGAACCGGTCACAATCTGGTTATATGTCTGTCTTGCCTTTCCTCTGAGTGTAGTGAGCCGGCCAGACCCTCTGGTTACACCCAGGTGCCTCATTCTCTCCAGCCCATAATAATTTTCTTTCTCTACTGATTCAGTTGCTTATTCCCAAAGTACCTTCACCACATGTGCCTTGCCATGAATCAATTCACCACCCAGTGGTGCAGATCCAGCCAGTCTGTTTGCCTGTTTATTACCCACCACGCTGGCATAGCCTGGAGAAAAGATCCAAAGTACTAGCACCTTCTTTTACTGGCTTATTTCCCAACACAGACTAAGTAATTCCTCAAAGAAATTATTATTATGCCAAGCCTTAGATATCTTCATAGATGGTTTTCACAGTTGAAGATTTTTCACAGGATCAGGTACTCAAGACCAACCTATTTTTATCTGCTTACACGGCCAAAAGGAACACGTTCTCTGCATCCATGTATTCTCGTAAATATATATATATATATATATATATATATATATATATATATATATATATATATATATATATATATATATATATTATCCAGAAAACCATGAGTTGTTAACACTTTGGCTTTGTACTATGGATATCGAAACCCTTCAGCTTTCATTCTATGATAGGTATTAGATTACTAGTATTAGGTACTGTAAATCTGGGAGAAATGTGGCTTCGTCACTCAGTCACCGTGAAGTCAGGTTTAACCAACTACGCTAGACTAGAGAGCCGGGCTTGTATGTAAGTATTTTGTAAGTATATAAAAATTATAAACCATAAATATAAACATGGCATAATCATTTTCATTAGCTTCAATTTGCTTGCACGTTATTTATTCAAAAGACATGAACATTTTTAAAACATAAAGATGCCACAGCAAGACCGGCACAGCGACCATAATCGCACCGGAAAGCTCAGTAAGTAAAAGTTTCCTAAGACTCAAGTCTCAACTGCTCAACACTCAGTGAGTGACGTGGACCGCTGCAATTGGATTCATTGAATTGAAGTTTAGGAATAATCAGATATTAATTTAATCCGGCTGCTAGTTTTACGATTTAACTATACAAGAAATGACAAAGATAATTGCCACAAAGAAATTTTTTATTGTTTAAATATAATCTTATATCTTTTCTGAGCGTATTATTTTATATATTGAACACTGAATAAAGATAAACTTACCAAAAGCATAGAGAGCAGCGGTACCATATACAACCATTCCGCCATGTTGGCGACTGTAACAACGTATGAAAGAGTCTTTCAGAAAGTGGTTACAGCAGGGCTGCCGAAGTTGGCACTTTCGTGCAAATGTAATATGCCGAAAACTTACAAACAAGCAAAAACATTCAACAGGAAATGGTTGTATTAGGGGGAAAGGATGGAAACATTATGTTGCTAAGAAAGATATAATAAAAAGATGGACTGAATACACAGAAGACCTGATTTGAGACAACAGAGGTGACAAACCGCCAATCCATAATATTCAAGAGGGGCCAAACATATTAAAGTCTGAAGTAGAGAAAGCCATTAAACAGATGAAGCAGGGGAAAGCTGCAGGTCCAGACAACATAACTGCAGAAATGTTAAAATCATTATCTACTTTTGGAATTGATACTATCACAGAAATATGCAATGACATTTATAACTATGGGTACATTCCCAGGGACATGAAAACATCTGTTTTTATCACACTACCCAAGAAATCAAAAGCTGTTGATTGTAAAGATGACAGAGCTATTAGCCTAATGAATCACGTAACTAAGTTACTTTTGAAGATAATACAAGCAAGAATTCAAAATAATATAGAGAAAAAAAATTATGAAGAGCAATTTTGATTCAGTAAAAACAGTGGTACTCGAGAAGCCACAATTTGTCTAAAGATGCTGACTGAAAAATATACAGAAGTTCAGAAAAATATGTATGCATATTTTATAGATTACAAAAAAGCTTTTGACAGAGTGCAACATGAACAACTAATTACAGCTCTTCAAAACATAGGACTAGATGGAAAGGATATCATACTTATTAGAAACTTATACTGGGAGCAAGAAGCAACAGTGAGATACGACAACATCTGCTCACCCCAGATAGAGATCAAGAGAGGAGTAAGACAAGGATGTGTGCTGTCGCCTAGCCTTTTCAAATTATGTACAGAAACCATTTTTAAAGAAATTGTAGAATTACCAGGACTGAACATCAATGGTAGAATAATAAACAATCTGAGATATGCTGATGACACAGTGTTGCTAGCAGAGAGTGAGCAGGAGTTGCAAGACCTAGTGGAGCAAGAAAACAAAAGGAGTGCAGAATTTGGATTAGATATTAATTTGAAAAAGACAAAAACCATGATATTTAGCACAGAAAATAATCAGCTAACAATGAATATCACAGTGAACGGGATGAAATTGGAACAAGTTAAAAATTTCTTATATCTTGGACAAGTAATAACATGTGACGGCAGAAGGGAAACAAGTCAAGAAAAGAATAGGGATGGCCAAAAACATTTTCAACAACATGCAAAAGTTACTGACATCAAGAGAAATAAGCAAGACATTAAAAATGAGAATTGTCAAATGTTATGCATTCTCAACCTTACTGTATGACACAAACATGGACAATGAACAAACGACTGGAAAATCGTATCAATTCTTTGGAGATGTGGATATACAGAAGATTAGGCCGTGTTTCATGGAAACAAAAGCTATCAAATACAGAGGTACTGAGGAAATTGGGAATGAAAAGAGAGTTGCTAGGTGAAAGAAAAAAGAGACAAGTGAAATATTTTGGTAACATTAAAAGACATAACAGTATTGTAAAGATCATCCTAGAGGGAAAGGTTCAAGGTAGGCGAGCAAGAGGCAGACAGCGTTACAAGTGGGAGGATAACATCAAGAGATGGATGAACAGCAGTATGAGTGAGTGTACATCAAGGGCAAGAGACAGGGCTTGTTGGAGATCCATTGCAGCCAACCTTCATTGTGGAGACGGCACCTGATTGATTGACTATGCCGAGCAAAACTGAACTTTTGGTACCGCGTTCGATGTCTTGGTACGTTTTAAAAACGTTTCAATTGACATTGTACACTGGATCCGGCGAGTGCTACTGAAGGAAGACCAGTCTCATATAAATGCACTGATGAGGTCACAATTATTGCTCCAGGACATTAATTACCAACTGGAAGCTGCGAAAACAGCTTTATAACAAACTGCGCAGGATAACAATAGATGTAATGGACAAAGAATATCACTTCTGATTTTTTTTTTAAAAATTAGCCAGTTAAATAAAACGGTCTGTTTCATTTTGTAAATTAAAAAATTTTGATGTTTCAACTTTTGGTGTGTTCTTGTTCCTTTAAAAAAAAAATATTCGGTACTATTTCCGAACAATTGTCGACAGCCCTGGGTTACAGTTAAAAGTTGCATAGGAGAGAGTGTGTATGTGGCAGCTTGTAAATGGGCGGGAGAACTGTGCCGATAGTACTAGTAGTAGAGGGGGGTTATTTTTGTTCATAGCGGAAAACATTATAGGCAATCTTTGTAAGATCAACTTTTGTTTTTTGTTTTTAGACTAGTATAATAGACACTTTGTGGACAGTACCGGCACCCTTTTAAAGACTTATTTGGGACATCCTTTGAAGAAGAATGCATCTGCCCTAGAGACAAGGAACCAACAATCTGCATGCAAATAAGTCACATCTGTGAAATGGAAGTGCATGCAACACAGGTTATGGAACATGACTGAAGTCCAGAGGTAGACGAACAACCAGAACTTTCGCCAGCGTAGTTTACAGCAGGTGAACGCAAAGAAGAAGAAGAAGAAGAAGAAGAAGAAGAAGAAGAAGAAGAAGAAGAAGAAGAAGAAGAAGAAGAAGAAGAAGAAGAAGAAGAAGAAGAAGAAGAAGAAGAAGAAGAAGAAGAAGAAGAAGAAGAAGAAGAAGAAGAAAAAGAAGAAGACGTATTCATGGCTTTTTCTGCTTCAGGTGGTACGCAGAACTGATACCTCTTTTAGGTATGAATTTGTCTGCGCTACTGTAAACATTTTTTAGTGAGTACCGCATCTCTTTTAGACACTGTAAGTTGCGCACAGGCATCTTTTATTCTGGAAAAACGCCCCGTTGGTCAGCGACATTAGTAGTAATAGTAGTAGGAGTAGTAGTAGTAGAAGTAGTGGTGGTGGTGGTAGTGGTAGTAGTAATGGTTGTGTTGGTAGCAGGACTGCTGCCGCTGCTGTTGTAGTAAAAACTCCACAGTGAAACGACCACATCACGATGCTACTATGGTCGTCAGTAGATAAGTAACAAGCTCAACTCCCCCCCCCCTTCCCCCATAA